TATATATATATATATATATATGATAGTTAAACTTTTTGAAATCATAAAATTAAATGGCCTTATTTATGGACACGCTTAATATTTAAGCTTTATGTAAATTAAACGCACAGGATAACGTTATTATAGACTTCAAGCATGAAGAAACCGGAAACGGGGTCGGTATCAACCTACTCGGTTTTCTTTATTGGCATAATAAATTGATGTAATCATATAGTGATAAGAATTTATTTAACATTTAAAAATGTTAGTATTTAAAAATAGTAGACAATGCAAAATACTTTATCACTAAATTAAAAATGTCAGTATTTAACAATATGTTTCATCAATTTTATATTTCACATATAGTTGGTGATTATTGAAGTCCAATTATAACAATTACATTTAAGAAATAAACAAATAATTTTTCATCCAAACATACAAATTACTAATATGCACTGATATGTATGTAATTTTGAATGGCAATACAACATATTAAAAAACTACATGATTTCTAATAGAATGTTTGCAACCAAAAACAATCTTCAACAAAAGTAATGTTTAGTTAATTATTTCCATTCGTGTAGAGAAATTGAACGTGAATTCAAGAGATTATAACATATAAATCAATTCCAAAGTTGATGCATTAGTGTAGCAAAATATAATCCATTTATAAGCTTGCTTGAAAAGTACATAAATTTTATATTGAAATCGTAACGATTGTTTTGAAATTGTTTACTTTTTAATATAAAATAAATAATTTCATAAATAAAATACATTATGTTTCATATTACAAGTTTGATCAAATCAATAATTTAATAAAAAATATGTTGGAAAAGTAAAATATTATATTAATATATAACAATATATTAAATAAAATGGACAAATTATGTAAACAATTAAAACACGATTAATATGAATAAAATATAATTTACAATTAAATTACAAAAATATATAAACGAATGAATGCGATTAAAAAAAAATGTAAAATAAATAAAACGTTTTCCATTGGTGGTAATGCGACATTTGAGTTATGAAAATGTCAATATCAGCATATTTTAATAATTTAAGAGTAAATTGTTAGCTTGTAATGTAAATGAGAGAAATATTTCCATGTTGAGTATCAGCATTGGTTTATATAACTTATATAGTGTTAGTATAAAGACTATGAAGACTGTTTGCTTTTATTTGCAATATCACCCACGCTCTTCAGTTTAAATTTGAATTGATTAAGTGTATAATTAAATGTTTAAAGCAACTATAAACACGTATCTAGTAATGGCTAATTGCTGTTTCAGAAAGTGAGGTAGAAACATAGAACAAAGAGATACACACACAAAGACCACATGCAGGTACATTTTGATTGTTTTAATTGGAAACAGGTGAGAGGAAGAGTTGTCCGACGCAATTGACGGTCGTTCCCGTTTACCGTTTCCCGTGATGCATAATATATCATTCTTTTTGTATGCGCACTTCTGTTGAATGTGTGCGTTTGTATATTATTTTTTATTTTTCGTTCACCTTTTTCCTTTCTTTTAGCACCCGGCTTTTTGCCGCAAATACAAACAAACGCGTGGGCAAAGGAAAGCGAAGTGCTGTAGGTGATTGATGTGAGGCACGCAATCGAATCAAAGAAAGTTCACGACGGTGGATCAACGGCATCATCAAAAGCTCGACGAGCATTCGGAAAATGTTCCATTATTACGAGTGTTTCGCAACATAAACTATGATAACCGTTCATTTGTGGGGGGTTGAATAATTTGTTGCCCGAGAGCCGCCCCCACCGTGTGCACAGGGCGGCAGACTCGTCGGACCATCCCACGTATGCACCATCCACAATTCATGTCGCGTGGACAAACGCTTTTAAAATTACGTTTTACAACCGACTGATAATAATTCAGGAGCCGCCCTCAACAACCTCCCCCACATGTACGTTCGAGGGGATGGGAACGTATTTATGTGTGTGAGTTGGGATGGAGATGGGGCGGTTCTTTTAAAATATACGTTCAATTATACAACGAAAATAGCGCTTCCGAACTGCGAACGTACATTACACTTGAAACTAGATTATGCTAGAGCTAACATAAACCGAATTCCAGTTGCATAACTCGCGTTTGCGTTGCACAAACCGTTTTTTATTTATTTCTTTCTTCCTTTCTTTCCAAATGGCCGCTGCGCGTTATTCAACGGAGGAGACGCGCTCTTTCCACGAATTATATAAGTCTGTTTACGCGCTGCATCTTGGAGGAGGAAGTTTCTGTGTCGGTGATGAAAGAAATTTTGGAACGTGAAGAGGTTGCCCCGAGGGAACGGGATAAAAGGAATTGTATAACGAAAAGCGGGTTCCTTAATTATTATCAAACACTCGAAGAAGTCATAGGCTCTGACATAATTGCTGCTTCGAAATTCCGAACGCACATCTAGGACCCGGTGTTTATCTACGGAGCCAATTAACATGTAACAATTATGGGACTCTGCTGGATTCCATAAAATCTCACTTAACACTGTTGAGGTGACTTTCCGTCTCCAGACATTTCCACCACATGCACTATAATTAGATCTGCCGCTAAAATAAACCCGAACTTGCGTACTTCCTGGGAAATAATTACATACAAAATACGGCATGAACAAATCTATCATATTCATTTCTCATTGTTTTTCATATACCAATCATCTACACTTTCCATTAATAATCAAAGTATATTTCTATTTTCACTATTCACCAAATACATGTTTGGATTTATGGTCATCGGCCACGAAGAAATCAATTACAACTTCTACTGTTACAACCACACTCTGCTAAACCCAACTCTAATATTAACATAATTCATTATCAAATGAACTGACATTTGCAAATACCATAATCTGTTAAGTGTTAAGAGAATTATTTCGATGCAAATACACATTTATATCTCATATCAGTCATTGTATAAATGCAGCAAAAGCTCTTTATAACCATGTGAATGTAATCATTTCTAAAGTCGTAAAATAATCATTTTCTTCAACTAACAATAAACCAATCAATCAATGTGATCTAAATCTTTTCATGCAATTTTCTTTATGGAAATGATTAGTACTTGGCTAATCTATTCCAATGATGCATAAGAACCAAAAATGAAATAAACAATGGTACATAACGAAATCTATGAGCTATTCCAGCTCAAGCAGAACGGTTTGTTGGCCAACAGCTCGATTGTTGTTGATGCAATAAATGGTCGGAAAATGCGAATGTGAAAGTAATTAGTCGAAGCTTATACAATGCACCTTCTATTTTTTCCCCTTTTTTGAAACGCATTCTTTACTTGTAACAGCGAAATGCATTTATTAGGAATTAACTATTTATTTCCATTATGAAATCAAATTCCACAACAATTTAGTTCCACTTCTTTGATTGCGCATTTGTTTCCGTTTGATAACACAATTAAAGTACAGTTCAAATCCATCATTATTTATTACATGATCATTAATTTTTGTTGTGTGTTTTTCAATTATTTTATATTCGTGGAATTAATTAACGTTTTTGCCATGGGCTGCATTCAATAAAATGCGTTTACATCGAATCAATTTTAAATAATTTATCAAAATCACTTAAATTAGTTACATTTAATTAAATTGATTTCGGGATTACAATTGAATTTATACCATATATTACATTTAATATTCAATATATTTTAATGAAATATCGTTATGTATTGTTGTGCTTTTCATATGGTATAGAGCTTTTATTGAAGCCGCGGTTCTCAGGTGTCTGCATTTGGAAAAGGCTTCCAAAAGTTTACATCTTTATCAGATAAAAATAATGATTTTTAAGCGAGTATACTTATCTCGACTATATAAAAAAACTTTAAGTGAGAAATATTATAATCATTCATATAAACTATACAGTACTCGAAACAATACATCTACAATTTTAAAACGTATTGACAAACCAAAGTTCAATTTCATAAATAATATAATTAATTACAATTTATTTTTCAAATATTTGATTTTATAATTGAATGAACTGTTCTACGTTGTCAATATGTGTTGTGTTAAAATTATTATAGTGTATATAAGTTTGGAAACTATCACATCTTTATTTTCTTCTTGACAAAGTCAATCTTATTTTTTTATTATTTCTAATCATATTGGATTAATAATGTTGAAACTGTTAGAATAAATTTGAAGATAATCTAAGTGGATTCTTGAGATTTATTGAAGTTCTAATTTAAAGTGGATTTGAGTAAGATTGAATTGTTGCTGATTGATGATTGAAGTATGATGTTGAAAGTGTTGTATAGAAATGCCGGATGATAGAATAATCAGGTATGTCTCTGACCTTTTGGGCTTTGCACATGCTGGTGATGGCTTGGACGTCGTGGGAATTGTGTCTGCCATCCATGAGGCAAAGGGCACAAGCACCAGTCTTGCACACGACACAGTACATGGAAACGTTCTCGTCCAGGTGCTCGGAGCATTTTCCGTCTTTGATTTTGGACGTGTTGCAGGCGGCACCGCGCTTTGCCTCGATGAGGGTGTGCTTTGCGAGGGGTCCGCGCATCGGGTGACAGGTGTCACGGCAGTCCTCGCAGTAGAAGATCTCGCACTGCTCGCAGACGACGACGGCATCGCTCGCCGGTTCACCCTCGCACATCTGGCACTTGAGCGTCAGGTTACGCAGTTCTCCGTACTTGTCGACGATGTTCTGCATGACCCGATACTTGGGTAAGTTGTGGGCGCCGTTCTCGTCGAAGTAGACGACCTTATGGCAGAGTGGACAGGGCAAGCTGAGCGCGCTTGCGAAGAGTCCTCCACTAGGAGTACCCACGTAGCTGTTGGGACGAGACGTGCAGACGACACCGCTGTCCGTTTCGCTCAAGATGGACAACTTGTCGCTCTCCTGGTAGTCTCCGCTGCCGCTACTGCTCGAGCCGCTGCTGGAGCCGCTCGCCACGCTCTCCGCCACATTCTCCCCAATTACATTTGGACCGGTGCTCGAAGCCGGCTGCTGCAGCTGGACGGCACAGTTCAGACATAGCGCGTGGTTGCAAGGTAACAGCACCGGGTTGTTGAAGAGCTGCTTGCATGCGAAACACCTCAGTTCATCTTCCATAGTAAATGCTCATGCCAGATTCCAGATCGCGCAACCCAATTCAAACCCTACAAAGCTCCAAGTACCACACGCACACTCCACCATACGAACTAAACTGAACTCGGAAGACCGACAAAAGCGATCGAACCGAGCGGCGCGATTTCATGTTGCCAAACAGACTCACGGAAACCCACGATCCCGTCTCCGACCATACTGTTATATCAATGATGCCGGTTCTTCAGTCCATTGTTCCTGTTACCATATATCCTGAACCTCACTCTGGTGGTTCTCTCTTCATCGCTCCACCGTGCAACTTCGATTTGGGTCGATGCACTTTCGGCACGTTCCCCATTCAACCATGCAACGACCCTAACACTAATGACCTCTCCACAACACTTTCCTCATATCCACAACCTCCTGATAACAATATACCCGAAAATATTCACACATTGATTACTAATCAATAATTACCGGACTAGCCAAATTAGTATTCTCAGAACATGCAACTATCCCATATATCCAATATATTGAAAATAATATTATTGCAACTTTAAAAATCAATCGATACTTTTATTATCTACATTCAGATTACACCTATTTCAATAAAAACATACGCGATTGCGCGAACTACATATTTCCTTCTACCTGAACTGATTAAAATTACATATTTACAAATATCAACATCACTGTATACATTTAATATTTATAATACCAAGTTTCATTTTATTAATTACGTTATTAATAATATGTGTTATGTTTAACAAAATAACAAATTAAACTAAATTGAATACAATTACCATATTCATTACCAAATTGTTGATACACAAGAAAGTTTAATACCGATTTGTCTTTTCAATATCTTTTTCATTTAATTTCTATATTTAGATTTATTATAAAACACATTAATTTATTTGATATATTTTTCATAAATTATATTATAAATGGATGCGTGCGTCTTATAGTCTAATGATTGTTATCTGCCGAAAATATGATACTTCTAATCTTCAAGGTAGGGCATACATTTTAACGTTCAAATATTATAATAATCAATTTGATCTCAAATCAATCAATTAGTCACGTTTAAAACTTATCTATATTTTCCATAGGCAACGATATTTTTAATTATTGTGTATTTAGATTTATTATTTGTAAAATCATCAATCAATTTATTTGAAGCAGTTCTACTCTTTACGTTGATAAGAAAAATATCGATATATTTTAATTATTGTGAATATAAGACATTATTTTCTATTTGATTTACATTTAATTACATAAGAAACAATAATGATCAACATTGATTCATAGCTTTCAATTCTCTATATCAGTGATTCTCAAAGTGGGATCGCAAAAAATATTTGGGAGTTGCAGAAAAATTGATGGCAGATGAATCCGTGATGTTTATCTACACATACGCATTCTTCGGGGGGTTGCAGAAGATTTTTTAAGTTCAAAAAGGGGATGCGGATCAAAAAGTTTGAGAATCGCTCTCTATATAGATATTTATGAAAAATATACTAATAATATTTGTATTCTAATTGAAATGAATAAGTAATTGATAGTTATCTAAATAATGATGTAATTTAATAACAAAAATACGCGTCTGCGTATAAGTTGTTCCCTCTATCAGTACATACTTGAACTAACTAATTACATAGTGCATTCACGTGATAGTCCACACAACATTAACCCAAAAAAAGTAAACAAAATATTTTTAAACCCCAGATGATAGACATGTTAAGATAAGATAGGTGGTACCAAAATTGTCAGAGATACAGTAGCACACGAATAACGACCATGGCTATTTGCATCAGAAATATCCGTATTAACCAATTAAAAATATTAAATAAATATTTTTCCACCAAACCGTAAGTTATCTTAAATATGTTTAGTCCACTTAAGAAAGAAATTATCATTTTATTAGGGAGAAACAATATGACATTGTTGTCGTTGGGGGCGGTATAGTAGGCGTTGCTTCAGCCAGAGAAATCCTCCTGAGGTATCCTAACTTGAAAATGGCAATCCTAGAGAAGGAACCAAAATTGGCGATGCACCAAAGCGGTCATAACAGCGGAGTTGTTCATGCCGGTATAATATTATGAAATGTATATATATAGTATAAAGTAATATATTACGTATTATTTTAGGAATCTATTATAAACCAGGTTCTTTGAAAGCTAAATTATGTGTGGAAGGATTGAAATTGTCTTACAAATATTTTGATGAGAAGAATATTCCTCATAAAAAAGTTGGCAAATTGATTGTTGCTACAAATAGCTTGGAATTGGATCGTCTTATGGATTTGCACGAGAGAGGGATGAAAAATGAAGTTCCTGATTTGAAATTGGTTGATTCCAAGGGCATTAAAGAGATAGAACCACATTGTCGCGGTATCAAAGCCCTTTGGTCACCTCAAACTGGTATTGTAGATTGGGCTTTGGTTACCGAATACTACGGGAAAGACTTCAAAGCGAGCGGCGGCGATATTCACCTTAACTTTGAAGTAAAAAAAGGTTTTAATTAATTAAAACTTGTTTCTTAATTAAATGATTTTTGCAGGTAACTAATTTTGAGGAAAGTTCAAATCGTGATTATCCAGTGACTATTAGATCTAAGGATGGAACAAGCGTTTCTGCCAAAAATGTTTTAACATGCGGAGGATTGCAAAGTGATAAAATAGCCGAAATGTCGGGTTGCTCATCGTCTCCAAAAATTGTACCTTTCAGGGGCGAATATTTGTTGCTGAATCCTGAAAAGGCGCACATGATTAAAGGAAACATATATCCGGTTCCTGATCCCAGATTTCCTTTCTTAGGTGTCCACTTCACTCCAAGAATGGATGGAAGTGTGTGGCTTGGTCCAAACGCCGTATTGGCTTTCAAAAGAGAAGGTTACAAGTAAGAAATAACTTGAAGAAAATGTTGAATTGCAAATTATATACGTACAATTTTTAGTTGGTCTGATATAAATGTAGTTGAATTGTTCGACGCTTTGAAGTTCAGAGGATTCCAAAAAATGGCATTGAAATATGTTGGAGCCGGTATTAAGGAAATAGCTCAATCTGCGTGTAGCCAATTGCAAGTGAGGGAATTGCAGAAGTACGTTCCGGAAATCCAGGCATCGGATGTAAGCAAAGGTCCTGCAGGAGTCAGGGCTCAAGCATTGGATGACGAAGGAAATCTGGTCGAAGATTTTCGGTTCGATATGGGTCAGGGTGTGGTTGGAAGTAGGGTTTTGCATTGCAGGAACGCCCCTTCGCCGGGCGCAACAAGTTCATTGGCTATTGCAAAAATGATTGCCGATAAAATTGCCGAAAAGTTTTTATAAATAAAATATATTTACAAATTTTTAAAATTGTGACGCTTAAAATATAACATTAATATATATATTTACTTTAATATTTTGTACACATTTGTTATTCCCTCGTTGGCACTCCTTAAATTATATCATTAGTAAAAATAATACCCTGCCCTTGTCATGTGCACATTTAGTCCATTTAATCGAACGGTCGATGGGTCATAGTAATTCCATATCGATAAAATACCAGATCACGATCAGCGAAATCTAGAGTTGAAGTTATGTGGAATATCATATTCGAAAAGACCACTATGTATTCACAGATAGCGAACATTGTATACGCTACAAATAAAGTTGTGAACGAACACATTTTCTCATTTATATATCAATATTACCATAATTTGGGCATCTTACATTATGTAAAACATAGAAATACCCAGAAAATATAACAGCTAAAACATTTATGCATACCATGAACTTTTTCCACCAAAAGCTGTTAATTTCTGATTTGTTCCTAACTACTCTCCTACACCTCTGATGCATGGCCACAATCAAAAGCATGTGGAGCTCTGAAGTGAGAATGAATATCATGAAAGATTTTTCATGAGTTGCTACAAGAATATTTTGTTATACTTATAATAACCAAAAATTGTATAAAAAAAATACATACAATAATAATTTGATGAATCATATAAAGTTAATGAAACTAAGGCAACATTTTCTATAATGTGTAATAGTGTATCTATGATAGATGGGATCTTTGTTATCTCAAATAGAACCTCCCTATTGTAATAGAAATCGAAATATACCATCAATAATCTACAAAATTAATTATATAATAATGTTAACATTACAACAGAGATAAACAAACCTGGGAATGGCATGTAAAATAATTGCTAGTTTCCACACTTCTTTTTGTGGTGAATAGGAACCAATTGAAGCAGAGATTGAAGGGAGCACATTGTATGCCCCGCAGTGTGTTGATGTTGAATGTTCAAAATTAAATAGTATGGAATAAACTACACAAAATACAAATGCACTTAAAGGCAGAGCCAATACTGAAAGACCAATTCTTCTGTAGGGCACCCATGCAACAGAAGTTAATTCATAGTCATCGGCCAGAAGCCTATATCTAGCTTCTGAAGCCATCAAAAATATATTAGTGAAATAAATAGGTGTAAACTACTATGTAAAATTATACTATTTGTTGTGCTGTTTTTTATTAACCTTTAGACTACTTTAAACAACTATAAGTCAACATATAAAGTAGATCTAACTACACATCGTTTGAACTAATTTTCAAAACACTTTCGATTAATTAATACACTAATATATTAATTAGTTTAACTATAAAGTAAATATAGTCATATAGATTGAGTAATTTGCAGAAAATAATATTTTTTCTAATAGGTTTGCCATTAAATTGAAAATAATGTAACCTAACCCATTTTGACACATGACATGAAAGAAGTTTATAGTTACTGAGTGTTACACGTTAGATATTCCCATTGATTCCCATTTTATAATTTACTATCATCATATGTTGTGTGTTTCTTCTTTCAAAAGTATTATAATTTTGGGATACATTTTAGTTTCGTTAATAAAGGTAAGTTATTACAACATATTGTTTTCAATATGCATTCATTGGAATCTGTCTAGAAAATCCCCTGATTTTAAGATTCTGAATGTATGCCATATTAAGCTATTTCCTAACATAAAGTATAGTTCTAGAAATGGCACAGCATGCCCACAGGAGGAAACATTTCTGCCAGGATCTAAAAAATATATTTAAGGATGATTTAGATGAGGATGATATCAATTTTGAACAATCAAAGGCCAGGTACTGTTACAATATATTGTGTAATATTGCAAAATCAGTTTGCAATAAATTCAGAAGCTTATTATAATTAATCTTTTTATGTTTATCTGTGGTATTATCATTATGTTGACATCAAAGAAAAGACTAGAAAATTAATATTTTTATTATATGCAACCAAATTACCATTGTTTTAAATAGTTTTATTTATTTTTAGTTACATACTGAGTTCCATAAAGACCTTTCTGCAACAAAATGAGAACTTTTATGCATTGGAGCTAATGGCTAGGATGGAAGAGATCCTCAATGTGCACATGGACAATTCAAGGAAGGATCCAGTTGCTATAGCAATCCTTTTTTTACTTACTAACAAGAAAGAGAAATTCAAGAACACCCATGATGAGAAAATAAAAATGGTTTTTAACACATGTCCATATGGTACAATCCAACAAGTTGTTGATGTAAGATTAGTTTAAGTACAACCATATCAATGATTAATATAATTATTGTTTCAGTATTCTTCTAAATTAAAATCGGAATTTTCTGATGAATGCAAAGATTATATATTCAAAAATAAGCTTAGCTTAAAAAGACAAATCTTTAACAATGTTGACTATGAACCGCAAAGTTTGTCGCAAATTCACTTTCAACAACCGAAAGAATGTTATTATTATCAAATGCGGGAGAAAGTTGAGAAAAAGATTGAAACGAACACTTCGTTCAGTATGTCCTATACTCCCACAGCAGATTCTGTAAAGGCAGTTTCTCTGGCAGATTATTTTAACAAATTCAAAAATAATTTACCTGGTTTTATTTTGGAAGAATTCACTGATTCTATAATGCAGAAACTTAGTTCTGATAAGAGCAGCATTGAATTACAAAACGAGTTATTCGAAATGTTAGGTTTTGACGCATTTGAGTTAATTTCTGAACTATTGGATCATAGAGAAGCTATCATTAAAAGTGCTGAAATTCCTTCTAGTACTACTGTTAGTAAAAAGAAAGTAACTGAGTATAAACCTAGGCAAGAAGGACCGGCGATGAGCAGCCAAATTGTTGTGCACTCTGAAGTTGAGAAGTCTTTTGCCAAACAGTTAAGAAAAATTGAAAAGAAGGAGAGAAAGACCGGTTTAGTTAATGGATTTGCAATGGGCGACTATGAAAATAATGATGATTACAATAACGAAGACGAGTTAGCTTTTATGAGGAGTATGGCTGCAATGAAAAATAAGCAATATCCTAATGTCTACGATGAGCAGAAAGAAGTACAAGTTAAAGGTATTTATATAACAATCGCTATAGAAGAACTAATCTATAATATATCCGTATATTGCAGCGATGGTTTGTGGGCAATCTATGAACATACCTAAGGATGCGGTCAAGAAAAGTAATCAAATGTGCGACGAAATCACTATCCATCCAAAAAAATCATCAAACCCAGTACTGATGGATGAGAGGATGAAGGTTGAAGATATGGATAAAATAGGACAAATGATTTTTAAAGATATTGAGACTTTCAATGTGATACAAACCAAAGTTTATCCAATTGCATATCACACTAATGAAAATATGTTAATCAGTGCGCCAACTGGTGCTGGAAAAACGAATATAGCATTACTAACTATAGTACAACAAATCAAAAACTTCCTCGTCAACGATGTTGTGAGATTGGAAAAGTTCAAAGTGAGAAAATCAGTAATTTTTGCCTTAAAGATTGCTATTGTATAATATTTTAGATTGTGTACATCTGTCCCATGAAAGCGTTGGCTGCTGAAATGGCAAGTAATTTCAGTAAAAAATTAATGCCCCTGGGAGTGACTGTCAAGGAATGCACTGGTGATATGCAATTGACTCGCAAGGAAATTAGCGAAACGCAAATGTTAGTAACGACACCTGAGAAATGGGATGTTATTACTAGAAAAGGAACAAGTATACATCTTATCAACACCATTAACTGTTGCAGTAGAAATAATGTTAAAACAAATTTTAGCCGATGCGGAATTAACGTCTCTCTTAAAACTACTAATCATCGATGAAGTTCATTTACTCAACAGCGACAGAGGTCCAGTGATAGAAGCATTAGTTGCCAGAACATTGAGGCAGGTTGTGAACTCACAAAATATGATCAGAATTGTCGGATTATCGGCAACATTACCGAATTATGTAGACGTTGCGCATTTTCTTCGCGTCAATCTGGAAGTCGGGTTGTTCTATTTCGATTCGAGATTTCGTTCTGTTCCACTTACACAAACTTTTATTGGTAAGTGTAATCAGATATTTAATTAATTGTAAATTAATATGTATTATTTAGGTATCAAGAGCATTAAACAAATGCAGCAAAATTTAGACTTGGATGAAGTGTGTTTTGACAAAGTGGTAGAATTTCTGCGCGGAGGTCATCAAGTCATGGTGTTCGTACACGCAAGAAATCAAACGACGAAGACCGCCAACTACTTGAAAGAGACTGCTCAGAAGAAAGGGGTATTAAATTTGTTCGAACCGTCTAAATCCTTTAAAGCAAAGAAAGCCACTTGGGGTGCAAATAATAAGTCGCTAGCGAATTTCTTACCATTCGGTTTAGGCGTTCATCATGCCGGTAATTAATTAAAAAAATATATATTTTACTCTAAATATTATCTGATTGGTTTTGTTGCAGGTATGTTGAGGAAAGATCGTAACGAGGTTGAGAAATGCTTTTTGGATGGTGCAATAAAGGTACTTTGCTGTACAGCGACATTGGCGTGGGGTGTTAATTTGCCTGCGCATGGTGTCATCATCAAAGGAACAAAACTGTATGATTCAAAGAAGGGTACATTCATAGATTTAGATATCTTAGATGTTATGCAGATCTTTGGCAGAGCCGGAAGACCACAATTTGACAGCTCCGGTCACGGTATCATCATCACCACACATGATAAATTACACTTTTACCTTTCCTCTCTGACAAACCAAATTCCTATAGAAAGTAAATTATTGAACGCTCTCACCGATAATTTGAACGCTGAGGTAAATCATCAACTTTCAGTTTTAGCAATCATTATATTATATTTCTTTATATTAGGTTGTATTGGGAAGCGTTTCGAGTATTGCCGAAGCAGTGGAATGGTTAACATTTACCTATTTGCACCGAAGAATGAGGATGAACCCTCAAGTGTATGGATTGCAATATAGTGATCTACAGAACGATCCAAATTTACACGAGTCTATGTTGAAATATGTGGAGAAGGCTGCCATTCTATTGGATAAAGCTCGCATGATTCGATACGACCCAAAAACCGGCGATTTAACTGCTACGAATTTAGGAAGGACCGCATCCTATTATTACATTAATTTCGTTACAGTTGAAGCATTCAACGATATTATGTCGACGACGATGTCTGTTTCCGATATCATAAATATGATGTGCTTCGCTTCAGAATTTCAACAGATCCAAGTAAGCGAGACACATATAGGAAAATGGATTATTTCTTAACAATTACTTTATAGGTTCGACAAGAAGAAATGGAAGATTTGGATCAACTGGCCGAATTTTGTGAATTGACGGTACCAGGCGGCGTTGAGAACGTGCATGGAAAAGTCAACATTCTTATGCAAACATATTTGAGTCGTGGCTACTTAAAAACATTATCATTAGCTTCCGATATGGAATATATTACTCAGGTATTTTCACATTCCTACATTACAAATTTAATTTTATTAATTACATTGTAATTTGTATTTGTAGAGTGCGGCTCGTATTGCTCGTGCATTGTTCGATATAGCAATTCATCAGAATAGTGCACTTTTAGCTGCAAATTGCCTTTTGTTGGCACAAATGTTTGAACAACGTCTTTGGGATAACCAGACGCCGATGAGGCAATTCAAGTTCCTGGAAGTCAGTGTTTTAAATAATATAGAAACAGCGAATTTGAGAGTCGAAGATCTTAGGGAAATGGACGAAAGACAGATTGGACAGGCGATACGCAACGTACGTTTAGCATCCAAGGTTCAGTATTGTGCTTTCGCATTCCCAACGGTCGATGTTGAAGCTCGGATACAGCCAATCACTAGAGGTGTTATCAGAATTAAACTTTTCATCACCCCAACTTTCAAGTATGTATACATTAAAGGAATATTTTACTCATACAATTGTTAAACCTAAGTCACCTTTGGTTACAAAAAGTAGAAAACGACATGAATATTTGCAAATTAAGTGAGAAATATGCAGACTAACGTACAAATATATCATACGGATATTTGTACGTCATTTCGGTTAGACTACTTACATCATATTTTTCCTTTTATCGAATGTTATTCAAATATAAGCAATAATTCTAATATTTGCTTATTAATTAATATATTCAATGCAGATGGTCAACTACCTATCATGGAAAAGCAACTGAAATGTTTTGGGTTTGGATCGAAGACCCCGACAATGATTGTATTTACCATACGGAAACAATAAATGTCACAAAAAATCAGTGTGCTAAAAACGAACCGATTGAATTAATTTTCACTGTTCCTTTGGTAGAACCTATACCAAGTCAATACTTGGTGAGGATAAGCAGTGATCGATGGATGAGTAATGATTTTTCTGTATAGCAATAACTCAACAAACTAAACGTTTTTCATTTAAGATGCTGTGAGCACTCATCCTTTGCCATTCAACGATCTTCAATTGCCGCAAAGTTTCACCCCACATACAGATCTCCTGGAGTTGCAACCTTTGGAAATTTCTGCACTCGGAAACCCACAGTACGAGTCGTTGTACAGCTTCGGCCACTTCAATCCTGTGCAAACGCAAATTTTCCATTGCTTGTATCATACCGATAACAACGTACTTCTGGGTGCTCCGACAGGTTCAGGCAAAACTATAGCAGCAGAAATTTGCATATTCCGTTTATTTAATATGAAACCGGAATTGAAAGTAACAAACATAAATATTTTCTGTTTTTCAATAAGTTTTCTTATTTTTAACTATTTTAGGTGGTTTATATAGCGCCATTGAAAGCTTTGGTACGTGAGAGAGTTGAAGACTGGAAAAAGAAGTTTGGTGGTGATTTAAGGAAGAAAGTTATTGAAATAACAGGCGATGTAACTCCTAGTGCGGGCACGATTGCTTCAGCGAATATAATTATAACTACGCCAGAAAAATGGGACGGTATGAGCAGAGGTTGGCAGAACAGGAATTTCATTCGTGATGTCGGTTTGATGATCATCGACGAAATTCATTTGCTCGGCGAAGATCGTGGACCCGTTTTAGAAGTCATAGTTTCGCGAACAAACTTTATATCGGACAGAACAGGCAGGAAATTAAGAATTATTGGATTATCTACGGCAATGGCGAACGCTCGAGATTTGGCCACGTGGTTGGGTATTGGTGAAATGGGTCTGTACAATTTCCGACCATCAGTTAGGCCAGTACCTTTAGAGGTCCATATTGCTGGATTCCCGGGTAAACATTACTGCCCGAGGATGATGTCCATGAACCGACCAGCTTACCAAGCTATCAGACAACATGCTCCAGATTCCCCATCGCTAGTATTTTGCTCTTCGAGAAAGCAAACCAGATTAACGGCTTTTGATTTGATCACATACCTAGTGACTGATTCAGATCCTAAGCAATGGCTCCATTGTGACGACGATAACATGGAATTGATATTATCCAATATATTGGATCCAGATTTAAAGCAATTCTTGTCATTTGGTATTGGTATTCATCATGCTGGTTTGCAAGAACGGGACAGGAAAACTGTCGAGGAGTTATTTGTGAATCAAAAGATTCAAGTTCTCATTGCAACCGGAACTTTGGCTTGGGGTGTAAACTTCCCGGCACATTTAGTCGTCATCAAAGGTATACTTTTTGTATAAGTCATAATAGACATCATTTAACTAACTTATATTCTTCAGGCACGGAATATTTTGATGGAGCAATTAAAAGGTATGTCGATATGCCCATAACCGACGTTCTGCAAATGATGGGTAGAGCAGGTCGTCCGCAATTCGATACAAGCGGAGTCGCATGTGTTTTCGTTCATGACATCAAGAAAAATTTTTACAAAAAGTTCCTATACGAACCATTCCCGGTCGAATCTAACTTAAGACCGGTTATAGCAGATCACATAAACGCTGAAATAGCTGCCGAAACTATCCCAACTAAAAGAAACCTCATGGAATATCTGACTTGGACGTACTTCTTTAGAAGGTTGTTAGAGAACCCGTCTTTCTACGGTTTAGCAGATGTGCATCCAGAAAACATTAACGATTTTCTAAGCGATTTGGTTGATTGCGTAGTACACGACCTAGCAGACAGTAATTGTGTTCAAATCATAGAAAATGTAAGTTTATATACAAAAGACAACTTCAAATCATATCCATTTACTTGTAGGAAGGTACTATTCATTACGAATCAACATTCTTTGGACAAGTATCTTCATACTATTATTTATCGCATAAAACTATGTTGCATTTCCAAGAAAATTTGAAATTCGACTGTAGCATAATTGAATTGTTATCCGTGATGTGTCATGCTACAGAATATGCCTTATTTCCCGTTCGACATAACGAAGATAAAATTAATATGTAAGTCTATAGCGTCTTATATTGTTTTTTTATAATAACAATGTATAACTTATATTTTTAGGGATTTAGCCAAGAGACTGAATTTGAAATTACATGGGCAGCCAATAGATTCTCCTCATGTAAAAGTCTATATCTTATTGCATATGTATTTAGGAAATTTAGAATTGCCGAATCAAGAATATATTGTAGATTGCAAGTCCGTGATGGACCAGGCGTTAAGGATTCTGCAGGTATTTTAAGATGATTTTAATATTTAGTTTTTACTAAGTAAACTGTATATATTTCAGGCGATGGTTGATGTTACGGCAAATGCTGGATGGTTATCGGTCACGATTAAAGTGATTCATATAATGCAGATGTTAATTCAAGGAATGTGGATAACAGATCCAGATATTTTAACAATTCCGCACGTTTCCAAAGCGACCGTGACACCTTTGTTAAAGGAAATTGATAATAACCCTGTTCTCAGACAGTGCAATGCCCATTCAATTTCGGGAATGCTTTACGCAAACATAAAACATAATCACCATTTGCGAACAGCAATTGTAAATATATTCGGAAGTAGGACTGAAAGCGATATCCTTAAATATTTAAAGCAACTTCCTTGGGTGGAGGTTAAAGCAAAGGCTGATGTCGAAGTTAAGGCTGGAGAGGAATTTGATTTATCTGTTGAGTTTTGGAGAAATGGCAATGATCTTAATGTGCAGAGCAAGAGCAGATACGCTAAGAGGAAGGACGAGGGTTGGTTCCTCTGCGTTGGATACAAGGATGAATTGTGCGGTATTAAGAGAGTCTCAATACGCAAAAGAAGTAACGCTACTATTAGTATCTTAGCTCCAAATTACCCAGGTAAACTTAAAAAAAAACTTAAACTTTAAAATCAATAATTTTCTTTGATTTCAGGCAACTTTATGTATACAGTTTATTTGCTTTCTGATTGCTATTTGGGGTTGGATCAGCAGTTCGACATTCCGGTGCAAGTTAAGAAATAACATTGTTATTGTTTTCTATTTTACAATTGTAATTAATCGTGTATACGCTGTGATTTATATTTAAAGATAAATATATTTAAACTCTTTATGAAAATATTAAAAAAAAAGAAACGCATCTATTCATTCTCCTTCTAGACGAATCTACAAATTGGGAGTAATAAAGTAAAGTACAAAATGACTCTAATACGGTAATCCCACACAAGAACCTTCGTTGCAATTTACATCTTCCTTATTAAAGGAAAATTTTTAAGACATCTTCAAAACTTTACCAGCTACATTTTCTGTCGAACTGTTGAACGGAGATGAAGCTATTAACGCTAGCAATATTTCTTGCTGCGGCTGCAGCAAATGAAGTGAACGAAACCGAGAACGATGCGATTAGAAATGGAAAGACTTACTTTATACAATTGAAGAAAACAGGAGATGAAAGCGATGGCCCAGTTTACGTTAAAATCAATCATTACAAAGATCCTGTAAAGGCGTACAGGGAAAAGATGATGAAAAAGTATGAAGAGATCTTTGGTAAATTTGAAGAAGCTGCTCCTGAAAATATCGAAAAAGAAGTTAAGGCAGAAGAAAAGGTAAATTCATTTATTTTTGGTATCTCTATTCAAGATTTTTAATGCTTTAGATACACGAGGACGGATTTGGCGCTTCGTTTATTGACGAAGAATGGTCATACAATCATAATCATAGCATGTACGATTTACCTAATATCACTCAAGATATTTACGAAGCTATGCTAGAAAATAACAGACATAATACTATTGTGAATGCATCCTATGTAAAATTCTTTTTCGAAACCGATACGAATCTTACATCGAATATAGTGAAATTTGATTTAAATAGTTTGAAGAAAGTAAATCATAGGATAATCGACGCTGAATTGCACGTCTATAGGTGATGTCAGTATATGATTTCTTAATCACTGCGATGACTCATATTTACTGTAGATTGCCAAGAGATGAAAACGCAACTCGCCCTAGATCAACGGATAATGTTGTCCGATTGTTCCAAAGGACCGACAGTGAAGAGGATGATGATAATTCGACGGAAAACGTAAATCCTGATACCCACAAGCTAGCCAATGTTGTTTACATCTCCTCCAATTACGAAGGATGGCAGGTATTTAAAGTAAAAAATGTTATTGAGAATTGGCGAAATGGCGAGGAAAACCATGGGTTCTTGCTATCCACCACAGATTCCAATGAAAATATTGATTTTGTGAATTTTGCACACCGTGAACGAAACGGTGGTAAATATCAGCCCACGTTAATTGTTTATTTGGATTCTGCAAAGCGAAGTAATAATTGTTCAAATGTTGCATGGAATGTGTGTCAACGTAATTTTATTTATAGGTGGTAGGAGTTGCGAAGGCGGAGCGAAGAATGTCGAACAAAAATCTTTTAAACTTAGCGAGATGATTTCAAAGCACTACGATCCATGTGGCCGACATATCTGGTACATCAGTTTCCACGAGATTGGATGGAATAATTTCATCATAGCGCCAGGTGGATACATGGCTTACCGTTGCAAAGGTGGATGCGGCTCATTGGCCACACCTTACTCGAATCATGGCAAATTGGCAAGACTCTTCGATAAAAACTCTGCAACTAATGTGCCCTGCTGCGTGCCGAACGGTTACAGAAGTCTTTTAATCATGTTCTATGACCGTGAGTCCAATGTGGTCATAAAGGAGTACGACGATATGATTGTTAATGGATGCGCTTGCAGATAGAGCTTATAAATAATAGATATTTATTTTATATAATATATTTTCAATTATTGAATATAATTTTTGTGGTAACTAGAGGTAGAGTATGTCATAATGGCCGGGACGGTAGAGTAGATATACGTCAGGAGTTAGTCTATCCTGTGGTATATTGTGTTCTGTCACACTTGTATTTCCTCCCCTGTCCATATACACAACTCTGACTCCTGTAAGAAGCACTGAGCAAGCACCCATTATGTGAATGTGATCACTCTCCTTATACATAGGCTCCACTTCTTGATGACAAAAATCAGCAACCTTAAAAAACATAAATTATTAAAATCAGAAATCATTAATATTTTGCAAATACTAACTGTTCTTTCTCCATCAATAAAGAAGCTATAGAAAATTTGTTCTTTTTGTAATTGACCACTTGTCAGTAATCTAAGATACACAACCATGTAATCTGAGTAACCCTGTTCATTGAACAAGTTGTGTAACTCCTTTTTGGCATCACTGGCATCATCAATGTCATTAATCCTTTTTAACACTTCCATAAATGTATCATAGAAGTCCTCAACAGTGAACTGTGGAAATCCCAAAGCCACCAGGCTGTTTTTGCTCTTTTCAACCAAATCATAAAATAGGCTGAACTGCTCTTTGTCATCCAGCAGCTTTTCAATATATGCATAACCAAAGGCTCTAAAGAAACAATTACCATCTGGTCTTGTCCTTCGAATTGACTTATACTTTGAAGACAGGTCTTTGATTTTTGCTAGGTAAATGGTATCAGTCGAATATTCACTTTCTAATGAGGAGATTTGGTCTAGAGGCCCAACTAATGGAATGGTATCTGAAATCTGAACCATCCAAAATTAGTTTCGCATAACCTCAAGTGCATTGATAAAGTTGCACTACCTCCTGCTGAATTTTCCTTTGTTGAGCTAAAATCAACTCATCCTGATTTGTTGGCGTATCGGAATTTGTTGAACTCTCCGATTTATCAGCCATTTTCATTCAATGGAATCACTTTGAAAAAAAATACAAAAATGTTTAACAAATTGACAAAACTTGTTGTTTTTCACTTTTTATTTTTGACCGGTTTTAGATGTTTACTATTTTTACAGTGTTGCTACATATGATGGGCATCCAGCAAAGACGTGAAAAACAAAAAACCGAGCTGAGGTCGTTGTCATCGAATACTAATATCTCTTTAATACTAAATGTGGCGCCACCAGTCCGAAATATGCGAATTTTCAGCTACATTTTTCATATCTTCTTTGATATTTTTCTTCTTCTTGAAGACTTTCACTTCCTGTAAACAGCTCTAGTTTAATAATATGATAGTATAAAAGTTTATGTATTTCAACATGATTGTAAATAGCAATTTTCCATCAAGTCTTAGTATTGCATATTTTATTATTTAATCTAATAATACGTTAATTTTAATACATTTTACAGTATTTGAATCTTACTTTGTTTATTTTTTAGCTTTAGAAAAGAAGATTCTATCAACAATATCATAAATATGCAACCAATATATCGTTTATGTGTATAACATGCATAACATGTATAACATGTTTATCCATGCCAAACTAATTTTAAGGTTATAGTGTAAAATAATTTTTAAATTTGTAAATATATTGTTAAAAATGCCTCCCAAACGTGCAACAAATGGTACTTTATGGAATCTATGCGAGGTTTGTGAGTCTTACATTGTTTCTAAAAATGTGGAAACCCATGAATGTCCTCCAAATCAACTAGAGCATAGATTTATTAGAGACAACATTTTATATAGTACTGTTGATGTTAGAGTAAATGAGGAAATTAAGGGATTAAGTCAGTTTGAAAAGGATAACTTGGTGTTCTTAACAGAGTCTGTAATTCAATTACTGAAACTGTCCATTGGTGATTATGCTATAATAACAAATTTATCTACCAAGGAGTCAGTAATAAGAACTGTTTGGCCATCATGCGAGAAAGGATTAACTTCAGTTTTATTAACAAAGAATGGTATGGTTTTAATTCTCATATAAGGAGTATGTTTTCAATAAGTTTTTTTTTATATTTTAGGTATGGATGTCAGCAAACTAGATGGAAATAATGCAGTTACAGTAGCAGGCATTTCCTCTCAGAAAATAAAGGATGCAAATGTAATTCAGTTGTTAATACTGAATGCTCCAAGAATTTTAGAAATATCAAATGAGTTACTTAATAGATTAAGAAAGAGTTATACTGATAAATTGGTTGTTAGAGAAAATAATCTTAGTATTCTTTTCTATGGAAAACAGTTGAAATTCCAAATTAAATCAGTATCTGCACAGAATGAAGACTTTGAAGAGGATTTTAATGAAAAGTTGACATTGGATGAATGTCTTTTTAAAATTACTAAGAAAACGACGTTTGAAATATTTAAGTATGTTAAAGTATTATATGTATGTGAATATTTATTAATTAAATTTATATTTTAGATATGAGGAAGATTTTAAAAAGGAAAAAGCTAAGCAAGATCCGTTTATGAATATTGGAGGTTTGAATGAGGAGATTGCTGAATTGAAGGATTTAATTGACTGCGCATTGGAATATAAACCAGCGTTAACTGGTTTTAAGACAACTCGTGGCGTCTTGATTTATGGTAATCCTGGTACGGGAAAAACTGTTCTGTCGCATGCTTTGGCTGTTGATTCGAAAGCGACTATCGTTCAAATTAATCCAGCTGATTTGTATGGGAAACTGAAAGGAAGCCCCGAAGAAAATATTCGTGAACTGTTCAAATCTGCCAAGGAACAGGTGCCGAGTATTATACTTATGGATGAAGTTGATATTTTATGTCCATCGAGATCTTCTCGGATGACAGACGCAGAGAAAAAGATTGTTGCGTGCATGTTAACTCAATTCGATGAATTGATGGACTGCAAACAGATTTTTGTGATTGGAGCGACAAATAAACCAGATTCGGTGGATGCAGCATTTAGGAGATGCGGCCGTTTCGAAAGGGAAATAGAGATACCTGTTCCCAATCCGAATAATCGGTTATAAACAAGACATGTACTAAATGATAAATGGTATAACTGATTTGATTATATTTTCAGATTCGATATTCTTAAAAATCTTTTACCGCAGGTTGAAGAGAAGATGCTTAAAGATTTATCTGGAAAAACTCACGGTTTTGTTGGAGCTGATTTGTTAGCTTTATCGTCCAGAGCTGCTCTTCATGCGAGTCAACAGCAACGGCAGCAAGTGAATTGGGATGATTTCAAATTTGCTTTAACTAGGGTCAGGCCAAGTGCAATGAGGGAGGTGCAAATAGAAGTACCGAATGTTTTATGGAGTGATATTGGTGGGCAATCGAAATTGAAGCTGATCTTGAGGCAGTGTGTTGAGTGGCCACTGAAGCATGCTGAAAGCTTTATTCGGATGGGAATTACTCCACCTAGAGGAGTGCTGATGTACGGACCTCCTGGATGCTCCAAGACTATGATTGCTAAAGCGCTAGCAACCGAAAGTGGTTTAAACTTTTTATCCATCAAAGGTCCTGAGCTCTTCAGCAAATGGGTTGGAGAGTCCGAGAGGGCGGTACGCGAAGTTTTCAGGAAAGCCAGACAAGTGGCCCCATCCATTGTGTTCTTCGATGAAATCGATGCGCTCGGAGGAGAGAGAAATGGAGGTTCCAGTTCGGTGCAGGAAAGAGTTCTCGCACAACTTCTAACTGAATTGGATGGTGTCACGCCTTTAGGAGATGTAACAATTCTTGCAGCTACCAATAGACCCGATAGGATAGATAAAGCTTTGCTAAGACCCGGTAGATTGGACAGAATCGTGTATGTGCCATTACCAGATGAAGCAACGCGAAAGGACATCTTTAGGATCAAGTTGGCAAAAATGCCGGTAACTTATGCCTAAGTTTTCTTTGAGACATTTAATTAAATCATTGTTACTTTCAGACGGTCGACATCGATATCGACGGGTTAGTTGCAAAAACTGTTGGATATTCTGGTGCTGAAGTTAATGCAGTATGTCACGAGGCAGCGATGATGGCTTTAGAAGAGGATCTTTCCGCAGACAAAGTCATGACTCATCATTTTGATGCAGCTTTAGATTTAATCACTCCTAGAACACCACAAAGTTTATTAGATATATACGACGAATATAATAAAAAATCATAAAAAAAACTTTACTGACTTTATTATTATTAACCTAAATATTCTCTCTGAAAATAATGTACATTTTTAAATTTATCAGAAATGTCTAATTAAATCATTAATATTTATGAAAAAATAATAAATTCCAATGTAATTACAAAATGAAATAGGGAAATTTACCACATATACAAAATATGTGTATTGCCCTGTAATCAATTCGAGATTAATTTATAAAAAAAAAAAACAAATATTATCAAACTATATTACTATCTAATCATAAACGTGATGAAATATATGATATTAAATAATTGACTTCATTTATTAAATTTAATTATATGAAATTTAATGTGTAATTTAAAATATTTCTTTCTGTATTGATTATGTAGTGCATAGCACTTTAATATTATTACGTTTAAATTAAACTTAAATCGTTACATCAACACTTTTTTTTATTACTATTATCACTTAAATAAACATAATATAATTTAATCCCAATATTATTTTCTAAAAGATTTTTCATATGTAAAAAATATTATTTCAACGGATAATATATTTATTGATAAAAAGTTATAAATTGAAGTGTAGTAGTCCATTTCTAGTTAAGGCGTGTGAGTGCAGTAAAATGAAAACATTTATAGTTTTATTGAGCGTTTTTGGTTATTATACATATGAAAAAGATGTTTGATAGATTTGTTTAATAAATTTATTTTAGCGCTAATTTCTTCATATCCACATAGAGATGAAGTAAAGTATAAAATTAGAAGTCCAAAAGAATTCGAAAATTTTTTACGTATAAAATTTACATTCTTATTATAGATAAATTGTATTAAATAAGAACAAATTACAGGTAACAAAAGTAGTGGAATGTCCGTAGATGATGATGATTTAATGGGTATTTTGAGTCTTACAGATAAACGTATGTAATTGTTATAATAGTTTTGTACATATTATTCCAAATTTTGAAAATATTGTAGACAAATCCAAAAACCAAAATCAATCGGTAAAGCGGCGTGCATATTTTCCAAGTTTCGATGATATTCCTATCCCAAATGTGAGTAAAAATACCATTGGCGATAGTGTATTAATTGAAGTGATTATTTAAACCAGTCGTCGCAGAAGGAGGTGAAATTCCAAAAGGAATTGAAAATTGTGAAGGAGGAAAAGGAGGTGACGAAGGGAATCATCAAGGAATCGACGTTGGTTAAGGAAGTCGAAGAGGGGTTCCAGGAGGACGAAGGAGTGGTCAAGCGGTCGAAGAAAGTTATAGTAGTGAAGGAGGAGATGGAGGAGGTGGCAGAGCAATAGCCGATGAACATGATCATAAAGTTTAAGAGTTAAAATGATTATATAAGAATATATAACAAATATAAGAATTATATATAATAAAGAACAAAAAAAAAATATAAATGCCCATCTATTATTTATTAAGGAATATCTAAAATAAAATTGTATTATCTAGTGTTTATTTAAGTTCTATTAATGCAATTCTAATGAATTAAAATGATACATCACAGTAGATCATATCTTGGTTGTTTATTGTACAGCATTGTGAATAAAATATATTTCAATAATCCATTATAACAATTTACGCAATTGTGCAATGTGATGTAAATACATTGATTAATTGTTTTTTTATAAAAGATTTGACAAGTATCTATGATTATTTGAAAAATATAATATCAAGTGATCAAAGTGCAACAAATAAACTATAATTTATATTTTAACTAATAAAACTTAAATTATCACATAATAAAACAGTGTAGTTAAATTTTAATATGGATTGTTATAATTTTAGATTAGATTACAATTAAACCGTTTATTTACTAAATGAATGTATGTAATATTCTACTGGAAAGGACATAATTGCAATATTAAAAAAAAATATGGAAAGTGTAAGAAGCAAGAATATTAAATGCAGTACTTTCCATTCAATTGCAATCGGTAAATATGAAACGAGAGATAAGGTTTAGATATGAACGAAGGCTATGCGAAAAATGAGCACACTTTACTGATGTAAATTTAAATTTACAATCTTTAACGATTGAATAATATAAAATTATATTTAAATGTAAAAGATGAGTTTAATTTTAACATTTTATACTTTTCCTGTGAAATATCAGTATTATTTTTCTAACATTTTCTATTGATTCAATTGTTTGTACATATATATCTTATTTTATTAATATTTTTAATTCTAACAGACAAATTAGAAAATGCCGGTTAATTATCTGTTTATTATATTAGCCACTTCTCATCTTTATAAGTAGATTAAATAATTGTTGGAGATATTACATTCGTTATTAAAATTGCGGTATTGAACAAAAATGTTACCATTTTTATTAATACAAGAGATATTGAAAACAATTTATAACTAAGTTAATATGATTTTCAAAACATTTTTTGAATGTTTTATAGATTTACTTAAATATTTGTTAAGATCAAATGTAGATCGATCAAAAAATAAATACGAACGATTATAAATACAAAATACATGTAAAAATCGTATTTCTTTGTTTGTCACTTTAAAATTATTTATTATATAATGGGGTACACAAGGGTCAAATAGTAAACTGTTGTGCTGGTAGTCTATTTGTGAATAGTATACAGCGAGTGAATTGTGTTGAATTGTCTTCTTGTGTTCAAAGTAATTTTCCTTTAGAAACTATAGATAACTGAATTAAAATTAATAAACGTAAGTAAGATATCGAAGATTTATAATCTTAAGTATATATTTATATAAGTAGTAGCTTGTTAACTTAGCACTATATCGATGGAATTATATAAAGATATTTTAATTATGTAGATAAGCGTTTGCATGTTAAATAAGTATGCAACTATATGTTTAGCAGTGGTTGTTACAGGTCTATATAACTACCTTAGTTAAGATGTAAATATATTTAGATGGGGTCTATATCGCAAGCCCGACAACCGAAAGACCGTCTATTGAAATCCCGACGTTCGAAATCCCGACTGTATTAAAGTCCCGACGTTTGAAATCCCGACTACCATAATCCCGACGTTCGAAATCCCAACTATATCGAAATCCCGACTACCATAATCCCGAAGTTCGAAATCCCAACTATATCGAAATCCCGACTATGTCTAAATCCCGACTACCATAATCCCGACAATCAAAATCCCAACTATATCGAAATTCCAACTATAATAAAAATGTTATTGTAGAAATTTATAATAATAAAAGACACTGTCGGGATTTCGATATAGTCGGGATTTTGAACGTCGGGATTTCGATAGACAGGATTTTGGTTGTCGGGCTTGCGATTGTCACCGATTTAGATGCCATCTGATAATATTCTTTAAATGGAAATAAATGCGTTTCATATAGGTTTATAACTAAGATTCGAGATTTAGTTTAATTGACAAACTGAAATAAAACTGATTATTAACAGTGATTGAAATACAGTGGAACCTTGCTTAACGAATTTAATCCGTTTCAAAATTTCTGGATAGTGGAACATATGAAAAAATACACATAATATGTGTATACAAGTTTTAAAAATGATGTAGCTGGCGCTCAATCCGGGACTTCTCATCGTCTCATCGTTATGCGAAACGTTGCTCGTTAAGCAAAACAAATTTTCCTATATAAATTAATGTAAAATTTGATAACGCGTTTCATGCTCAACAAAATGATGTATAACGTTTATTCAAATTATATACACATTATTAAGAAGCGTGAATTATCTTTTATTCTCTTATGGCTGACTTCTTGCGGTTTTTTCTTCGGGGACATTTTTGCAAGGTTTATTAAACTCTGCACAAACAAAATCACACATAAGAAAGACTTTTTATTTCTATTATTGTATTATTTTTTTATTCTTGCAAAAATATTATTTTTATTATGTCTGAACACAAGTTTGGAAAATGATGTAGAAGTCGTAAAATACTAGACTTTCCTTCTTCTCGTAACAAATTATACGAAACGTCGCTCGTTAAGCGAGTCATTTTTGTTACAATATGCTTTACTTGTTATGCGAATTACTCGTTAAACGAAGTTCCACTGTAGCCGATTTTATAACATATCTAGTTATTTAACTGAGTATTTACAATTTGATTAGTTTCAATCATCATTAATTTAAAATTCTACTTATTTTTGTACTTTCCATTAACGAATAGGATGCGTTCCACGAAGTTACTTCGTTTTCAGAGGTTATTAAATAAACACTAAAACTTACATACAAAGTGATATTATGTTTTAAAAATGGACTATTTCCTCCTTCATTTAACTTGCCTATACGTAGTTATTGCAATTAACATTAATCACTGAAAACTTCTATCTAAATTAGAATTGTTTCTCAAAAGTTTTTCTAAATCTTACAGTGAAAAACTATCATCTTCTGTATTCAATACATTTTTAACATTTACGAAACATATTTATTTACAATAACTTAATTTATTTGATGTTATTTTCTTATTGTAGTACAACTTAATGCTTTATTTTATCCGATGATTTTAGGGCGTTGGCCTTAAATTGGATTTTTTATGCTAAATGTGCGGATTGTTATATAAAATCTTCGTTATCAGAGAGAATAAAAAAATAAATGTAAAGTAGGAAATTGGATCCAACATTTTTAAATTAATTTATTTCTGATAAATATAATTTCGGAATTTGTAATCCAAAACGCTTTACCTTGTAAAATATGCCTTATCGCTAATTCCTGATCGATTATAAACAAATGCATATACATTAGCGCTTTAAAAAAATAGTTGAGTATCGATAATGTATGTTTATTTAGTATGAAAACAGGCATTCAAAATTACAAAACAGCGTACTCCTTATTTACTTAATTCACTAATAAATGTGTTATCGTAAGATTGCACGTGAACAAAAAATAATCGAATTTAATATACACTTTTTTTAAAACTATTTCACCTGAAAAACATTGCACAATTTGCGCAATAATTAAGGTAATAATTATTTTTAATTAGTGATGCATCTGACCTAGATTCAATACATGATGCCAGTCTTTACTTAACATCGTGATAATAAATGGTGTCCGATAAGGCAAAAGTTATAGCAATAACAGTGTAAGGACAATCGTTTTACGCGTAATAAAATGTTGATTTGATTAGATTTACAAAAAAAGAAAGGATTTTAATGATTTGAAACATAGATTTGAATAACGCCGCATGAGTATTATTGCTAGATAAAAGCACCTGAACTTTGAAAAACATGTAATTTGGTAAACATGGGGTAGACTGGAGAGAAAAGAAAAAAAAATATTTATCTTATTTGGTATCAGTTTCAATTTGTTAATTAATTGATTAAATATGTGAATCGCTTAGGCTCAAGGGTGTGTGTATGTGTGTGTGTGTGTGAGCAGCTACTAACAATGACAAACATGGGTAATGCGCACGTTGATAAACAAGAACGAAAAAAATAAATAAACGAAAGGAGGGAGAGGAAAAAGCGTAGCAACAGGAGCGATAATAGGTGTGTTTATATTTCAGCCCTCACTGTTGTTCTTGTCAGTTTGCACAGTTATCGAGAAGGTAAAGTGAGCATATAATAAAACAGGGAGGCGCCTAGTACATAGATCCAGACAGGGATTGTATAGCATCAACTACAACATCATGAAGTTGCTAACGTGTCTTTTGTTCGTCTTCGGTAAGTTACTACGTGGCATCTTTTAAAGAACACATCCGGTTACTTTGGTAACAATAACAAAATACAGTCGATTAATCATTCTGGTTAAATGGGACACGCATTATTAATTGGTGTATTTTCAAATTCGTTCGCTAATTTCAAAAATAATTCTTTTTTTTTATATAACTAAAAATGAAAATTAATTAAATAATAAATCTAACAAAATATGCAAATAATGTTGTTGTTACATCTCTTTTTTTATTATTGTTTTTATTTACAAATTTGTGTATGATTTATTATTTTCTATTTAATTAAAACGATGGTTTAGTTCAAATTAAACAATACATTACGTGATAAATTAAATTTAAAGATCAACATAATTTGAAATAAATCAATTATTACATCATTCATATTAAAGTAATTCCGTCTTTTCACATTTACTTGATTTATTTGAGAAACTTTATACAGTGGAACCTCGCTTAACGAGCATCTCGCATAACGAGTATTTCGCTTAACGAGCAAAATGAATTGTAAGAAAAATGACTCGCTTAACGAGCGACGTTTCGCATAACGAGTGACGATGAGAAGTCCCGGGGATTGCACGCCTGCTACATCATTTTTAAAACTTGTGTACACAGATTATATGTATTTTTGAATATGTTTCACTATACGAGTACAAATCCGGAAATTTTGGAACGGATTAAACTCGTTAAGCGAGGTTCCACTGTATATAAATTTTTAATTTAAATTTGATTTTTTTGGATGAAATCAATATTTCATATTTTAAATGAAAATTTAACAAAAACTTTTTCGAATATAAATAAAACTAAACCTTAGAATCTAAGTATATACATTGTATATTAAACAATTATATAATAAATTAAAACTAACAATTAAAATATTTGCAATTAATGACATTTTTTTTATACATAACTATTTAGTCATCGATCTGCAAGAATATCAAGTTTTTAAGTAATACAATGGAACCTCGTTTAACGAGTTTAATCCGTTCCAAAATTTCCGGATTTGTACTCGTATAGTGAAACATATTCAAAAATACACATAATATGTGTACACAAGTTTTAAAAATGATGTAGCAGGCGCGCAATCCGGGACTTCTCGTCTCATTGTCACTCATTAGGCGAAACGTCGCTCGTTAAGCGAGTCATTTTTCTTACAATTCATTTTGCTCGTTAAGCGAAATGTACGTTATGCGAGGTTCCACTGTATAGGTTATTATAAAACTACCTTTAATTAATTATTTTAATTTCACCTTAGGGAATTAATTTATTTTCAAGCGTTTCTCAATATTTTTACCGCGTGACACAATATGTTTGTAGATGTAACCAATTTCTAAGTGAATTTCGCACATTGTGACAGCTGTTATTTTGCGACCCAATTTATGTTTGCGACTTATAGGTTGAGAAACGCTGATATATGCTATAATATATATAGATATACTACATTATATTGTTTTCCCGTATGTTGGCGATAAATAAAGTTATTGATTGTTATTCGTAGTTTGGTCAATATTTATTTAATGATAATATCCCACCTACGATTACATTTACAATGCAAGCTTATTTATTGAAGTAGAGTAATTAATCGTTCATATTAATTAAATGTTTTTTTTTAGTATAAATATGTTGTTTAATTAAATTAAGAAACGTGGTAGAATTTACGTGTAATTTACTTTTGATATATATATTTTTTTAGCTACAGCGATGGCAAAACCCAAAGATATTATTGAATTTTTCGAAGGAAAAAGTCCAAGTAACTTGAAATGGGCCCACGCCGTAAATACAAAAGATCTTCTCGACAAAGCTTTGAAGGGTAACATTTTCGTACATTACAATAATACAATTATTTTAAATATTCAATGTTTAGATACCAGCATTAATATGATTGAAGCTGACGTGCGGATGGGAAAACTTAAGACAGAGACAGCATATGCTGTTGATGATATTCCAATAATGTCTCATGATACAGCAGAGTCAGACTTATCCCTTGAAGAATTCTTAATACAGGTGAAAGGGCAGACAGCGGAAAGAAAAGTTGGAATTAAGTTGGATTTTAAGGATTTGTTAGCTTACAATCAACTTGACACGGAAAAGTTTCAAACCGATATAAATGCAGTAAGTGGAAATTGGAGATAATCCTTCCATATGTTTTTGGTTTGTTTTGTTTTAGTTAAACGTTCCTGTTTTGTTAAATGCTGATGTTGTCAAAGGCCCAGGAAAAACTCCAAAAGCCGGAGTTTCAATTAAACTGATCGAAAAACTTGAAGGAGTTCTATATTCTTTAGGCTGGACAACTGGTGACTTTATAGAAGAAGAAAAAGAAGAAGCGAAACCTGAAAAAAAAGATGGTGAAGAAGCGCAAAAAGAAAAGGATAATGAATACACTGAAACCCATGTAAAGGCTATGGAAATATATGTAAAAACGAATTTCGTAGAATCTAAGATTACGTTCCCCGTGCGCGCAATGTTTCTGTCGAGGAACGTAAAGGTATTCACGGAATACCTTAAGGATGAAAAATATACTATGACAGTATGGTCGGCCGAGGATGATGACAAACATATAAAAATTCCCGAATTGAGCAATTTTTTGCTAGACAATAGCAAGAAAGTTTTTGTTGATATCCCTAAAACCGTACAAGATTCCATCGACAAGCACCGGAAGAATGGCGGTACATCTGCGATGCCGATGGCTGCTACGATTCTTGCGTTCATAGCACTGGCTTTAAACTATTTCAATTAATAATTAAGTCTGTTTGATCATATTTATTCTGTGTTTCATTATAAATGTACAACTTTGAAGCGTTATTTGATAAATGTAAGATTATAGTATAATAGTTCATCTTCCCTTTTAATAAACGTTCGTATATTTAAACAAATTGAATAAGATTTTTGTGTTTTTTTTACCTTTAATATTATTATAAGTTTATTTTCAAAATTATTGTTAATCAATATTGACAGGTCCAATGTGCCATTCATGAATTGGCAAAGAAATGTGTTGCTTCATATTGACAAGCCTTGTTAACCTACCTTTCTTTAACCTGTGATGGGTTCTGTCTTCTAAGAAATCCCGTTTTCTGTTTTGTTGTTGTTCCTAGTATACATGTAATACGATACGATTTTCAGTTTCACAATAGTTTGTGATCGCGTACTTGAAGATTGCAAGAATTGTTAAACAGGGATATCTTTTAGAAAGGACGCATATTAGAAGTTTTGCTGCATCAAAATTTTCATGCCAATTATCTACGAGTAAAATGGGCATGATGAAAGTAGAAAGTAATTGCTTTTTGACATTTAAATAATACGTTGTTGACGTTGTTGACAAGTCCTATAAATAGAATTATAAAAAAAATGTGTTTAACTGATGAATGCAAGCACTATATAATGGTATAAAATAATTAATACATTCAATAAATGTTTAATTCAATTAATTAATTAATTGGAAAGTTTTTGTATTGTATGTTGTTTTAATTGAATTTTATATAATCGTTTCTCAACATTTTTGCCACGATGCATTAAAACATATTCCTTAAAGCTTATGAGTTAATAAAATACTGGTATATATAATTATTTTCATAATGTTGCATCCGTACTGTTTATTACGCAAGACATATAAGTTTGCGAGTTGTACTTTTATACATTGTCAGTTACCTTATCTACATTGAAGTTCTCTTACTTTAAATTAGTGTCGCCAGAGATAAAAATAATTGAGCATAGCATTTTGCTGAATCAGATAATTTATAACATATTATTTTATTGGAATTTATATTTATTGTGTCGTGTAACAAATTCTAAATGATTGGAAGATACTGCTTTAAATAGATAACTCATTTCATTCATTTTATTTCAAATAACATCAGCAAGAAGACTTTAATCTACTTAAACTTTAAGTCTTAAAGTATGACTGCAATATGACTTATCGAATATTTCTTAATTAGACTTGATAATCAACGAACATATTTCAAAGCAAATAGTAAGGAATATAAAGAAAAAGAGAAAATAAATAAGCGGCAATAATAATGAAAAATTATAAGTTTCCTTAGTTGAGAATTTTGATGACCTTAGGTTAACTGTAGTTGTTCAGGTTATAATTTGCTTTAAAATGTAGATTGTTAATCTTATTTATAATATTGTTTTATTTATATATTATTTTAATATATTAGATGTTAGCTCATAGCTGTAAAGGAAAAGCGAGTAATGAATTTCATTAATGATCACTTGTAAACTAATTTACTGAATATTCGAATGGAAAAGATTATAAAGGTATATTTGAAAATAAAAATCATTTAAATAAAGGGTCAAAAAGTAAAGATAAATACAATTAACTAAAAGTTGAGTTAATTGGATCCTCAAAGTTTTCCCAATATTTAAAATAAAATGTTGACTTTTCAACCAATTGCGTATAGCTTACTTATTTCTCTTTGTATAATAAAAGTTTCTTAAGTAGTGTAAATGTAAAAAATACTATTTGATGCATAACTCGTAAACTATAAAAAAGAGCGTAAAAGTAAGTGGAATTATTAGCAATAATTGTGTAAGACAATTAAAACTGTAGGAATCAGTTCATGCGTAAATTGGCCTGTGGATGCTGCGATGTCGATAATTGCCCGTTGTAGCACACAAAATAAAATTACCAAATGTATCGAAATTGGATCAATGAGTAGGCTGTTAATAACGTTCAATATATTCACGATCGGTAATAAAGATTACAGCCGAAATATGAATCGTAATGTAGATTGTACGGCATAAATAGCATAGTCCATTACATTGTTATGGTGTTCTTGAAAAATAAAAACACAACAACATTTTCTCTGGGTGTAGCTATCGTATTAAGGCGAAGACAATTGAAGGGAAATAGAAAGTGCGAGAAGATACCCCGGGGATAGTCCAATTGTTTCAAAGATGATGGACCAAAGGCGTTCGATTGTTGGTGTAATGCTGAAGGAACAAAAAAAAGTAGGTCGAGTACAAAGTATTGAGTACAAGATTGTGAATTATTTTGAGGAGGATTTCGTTATGATCTGATTATTAAAATTAGCTTAAAGCATTTATGGATTCTTTATAAGTGGGAATAGTTGATTTTGGTTAAGAATATCGTTGAGAATGTATCAAATTATAGATTTAGATATAGTTGGGTGTATATTAGGAGAGATTAGTGCAGTTGCGAGTCGTGTAATGCATATAAATATAAACAGGGAAAAGTGAGTCAACGGTTCGCACTCATTTTTGGCACAATTGATGGTTTCTCGAATTTCGTTGGCAGATGGTTGCTTGGTTGGCCTATTGTGCCGTACCTAAGGTACCTCTAAATTGTGGGTGTTCGGTTTAATCCCCACAGACGTCGATGGTAAATGCGTGCGCTTTCGGCCTATTGGGATTACAGAAATTTGTTTGAGTGATTCACTCAAAACGTGAGCATGCAAACCAATTTGTCTGAGCGCGGCTCGTAAAAGTACGGGGCCGAAAGCCTGATTTATCTGCCGGGGAAGGTTGAAGAAAAGGACCCGATTACGATCTACACACCCGTCCTCTCTGTCCCGTCCTCACTGTCCCATTCCGATCTGTCCCGGTCCCGTTCAATCGACACGAGCTCTCTCGCCCATAATACATTTAGATTCTCGAAAAATCCCTGCTGCTCGCACGACCGATGAATGGTCAGGATACACACCCTTAATATTTCAATCACGACGCTCATCAGCATTCTCTTACCGTTTTCCCGTTGCATTTCGAAATGCTACAGTTTTAACTAACCCAATTCAAAATTTGAATACCAAATGTCGCTGGTAATTTATACCGCATAAATGTACACACGAAATCTCGCTCAGGCCACTCTTTCCCAATTTACATACGTGTTGTCATTAAAATCGAGATTCTGCTTTTAATTGCTCATACATCTGCATTTTGCGAATCCCTGCACCACTTTACTCTTATAATATTCATACCGAATTCTCAATATAGGAGTTGCTTTGATTATCTCATATATTACATAATAAATAATATATTTAATTTAAAAAAAACTCATGCATTATATGGAAATTATGTAAATTGTATTAGGAACAATGAAATTATAAAATCATTTCATTATTTACTTATAATAAAATACGATTAAAATCAAGATTTGGCTTTTAATTGCTGAAAGATATTTTTTTTTGCTAATTACTTTATTAGTTTACAAATTACATTATAAATAAATTATTTAATTAAATAATATGTCATTTTGTATAAGAAACATAAATTATATATAAGAATAATGTAAAATATTCTAGAATAATGAATAAAAAAACAAATTGATCTGCTGCAAAAGGCTATTGACCCTAGGTCTTTTTTCCAGAAAATTAAAAATTATTCAATTTTTATATAAAATCAACATTTTAAAACGTCTAATCAAAAATTATGTTTTTGTTTTAAATTTATTAAATATCTGCTATTTTTGACAATTCTTATTATTTTCTTATTCTAATCAATCTATCATCACTATAGATCTAAGACAGGGTTTCGCAAACTAAGTTAATAGGTGTTCCGTGAAAATCTGGAATGAAATAAATTAATGAATACTGTTTCTTATTTTTAAATTTTATTTATTATGTGATATAACCTACCTTGCAAACTATACATAAATTATATACAATAAAATAATCTATGTAATAGTTAAATATTTTCTTATTTATACATATTTTACTACTTCAATCAATATTTTTTTTAACATTATTAATCTATTTAATTTAAAATGTCTCATCTTTTGTTTTATGAAAATACATTGGAAATAATTTCAATCCTCAATAACAAAATCTCACTCTACTTATTCTTACTGTATTTCATAACGTGTTGTAAATTACAATCAAGATTCAGGTTTTAATTGCATAAACATCTACATCCTGCCAATTCCTATATTAGTTTCCTGTTGCAATAATTCTATCTTATCTCTAATCAAGCACTAACTTCGATTATCTAATAAATTATAGTCATATTATATGTAATAATTTATGGTTAAGCTTATAGAATTAATTAATATTTTTTACACATTTTAGTTTTACGAAATTGTATATGTATTGCAATAAACAATTTAAAAAATCTCTTACAACTTAAGAATCTAAACATGTAATCAACATATTAAATTAGAATTTATAACATTTTTGGCATTTTGTAATGAAAATCTGTCTCGATGGAAAATAAAATTAACTTACTGTAGTTTATTATTCATTTAAATATATGAATATTATTCATTTAATATGATTGTTAATATTTTATCGACTTACTTTATATATTGAATGTTGAAAATAGTATTTACTATAAATATTCTGTTGAGCAGTTAGTTTGTAAGATCTGTGGTTTTCAACCCCCTGGCTCGGTGGAAACATATTTTTTCCATTTTATTTACTATTTATGGTGTACAAGTTTGTGCGTCCATGGACGAGAGGTTATATATGTTTTTATATTCTGAATCCATTTTTTATTTGCAATTTTCGTATTATTGAGTTGCGTTTTTGTAAAAGGCCCAATGAAAATACCATTTCATATTTATAATCTTATTTTGAGTTTAGTGGTCCGCGAGATTCAATATTTTAAATTTATTAGCCCGTGAGGTCAAAAGGTTATACAAAAGTAATGAAGATATATATATGACAAATATGTCGAATTTTTACGAAAAATATATAAAAAATCTAGAAAACAATATGTAATAACAGATTTTATAAAAAAAAATAGTTTATTTGTTTAATGCTAGATTTATGGTTAAAAATTTACTGTTTGATTTACATTCAAAATAAAAATAGATTTTATAAATTCATAATAAAAAAATTGAATGTAAATTATTCAATATACTATTTTTTTTCCTTCTCAATAAATTATGTTATTTAAATTCTAAATACAGCTGTTATTGAGGCCGTATC